GTGACGGGCCGTGAGGGGGGGCTGACCAATCGACATATACACACAGAGAGCGAGGTGACTAGACGTGCCGGTTTGGTGTGAGTGTGTGTTCTACCGAGGATGGCGATTGGCATCCCTGTAGTCGGATCGAAGTAGGGATACGCAACCTGAGGACGAGGGCAACACACACAAACAACCAAGCACATGACCCCCTGCCCAGATCTGACTGTGTCTGTGTCCGTCTTCGTGTGTGTGTGTGTGTCGTACGCTGTAAGCTCCGTCGACGCCCGTGAAGAATGGAAACGCCCCGTTGGGCATCGGCGGCGCCGGCTGCTGCTGCTGTTGCATGTAGTAGGGGCTGGGGGCCATGCCGCCCATCCCGCCAACCCCCATGCCGCCGCCCATGCCCTGTGGGTGCTGGGGGTACGTGTAAAGCGCCCCGTCCGCACCAAAGTAGTACGGCAAAGGGCCGCCCGACTCGCCCATCTCACCGCCTCCGTTGTAAGCATCATCTGTGGCCAAACCAGTACCAACATCCATCCATCCATCCAGCTGGCTGGCTGGCTGGCTGCCTGTGTGGCTCACGTCACCTACCTACCTCTGTATCTGTTGTAGAATCCGCCCCGTCCCCTGCCCCTGCCCCTGCCTCGGTATCCGCCACGGCCTCTCCCGCCACGGAAAGAGCCCTCCTCGTGCGACTTGCTGTCGTCCTCATTCTCTCTCTTGTCGTCGTCTGACGGCGGGGGTGGGGGCGGGGGAGGAGGGGGCGGGGGAGGGGGAGGCTGGCTGGTGGACGCTGATGCCGATGCTGCTGCTGATGGGGTGGTGGTGGCACTGGTCTCCTCCTTGTCCACGACGGGGGATGACTCACTCGGCTGAGGAGCGGCAGCATCGGCTGTCGTCTCACCCTGAGCAGACAGACAAGTAAGTCGTGCCGATGGCGTGAGTGAGTGAGTGACTAATGTGCCACATATGTATGGGTGGTGCCTTCTCACCTCAGCGGGCGCCTCCTCTACTTCTGTCGTCGTCTTGTCCACTGGCGCATCCTCTGCCTCTGCCTCTGCCTTCTCTCCCTCGGCCTTCTCGCCCTCAACAGGGGCAGGAGCGTCTTCTGTCGTCTTGTCTTCAACAACACCACCCGGAGCGTCTGCAGCCGGCGTGTCACCCTCCTCCTTGTTATCCTTCTCCTCCTTGTCCTCCTTGCCCGTGTTGGTCTCCGCTGCGTCAGGTGCTGCCTCAGCTGCTGCTGCTGCTTCCTCCTCCTTTTCTGGCTTGTTCTCCTCTGTCGCAGATGGCTGCACCTCCTCACCCACAGAAGGGCCTGCACGCACACACACACGCGCACAGGCATCTCACACCACACATGCAGAAGAGGGAGAGGATTGAGCTCAGCTCACCGCTGGCAGGTTCCTCACTCTTCTCCCCCTCCTTCCCGTTGGCGTCGGGAGGGTTGTCGGCGACCTCCTCAGCACTCATCGCTGGACCCTGGCCCTCCAGCCCGCTGATCCCCTCTCGGAGTGGTGTGTGCGAGCAGATGCGCTGCTGGTTGTAGGTGGTGTCGCAGATCTGCCTTCAGTAGCTCACTCTTGGCCTCTGCGACGTCCTCCCAGCTTTCCGGCCTGGGAGAGGTCTGCGAGTCAAACTCCTCCTACGCAAGGCATTGTGTGCGTTGGAGAACGCACCTTCCTTTGCGAGCTTTGCGAGCTTGGCACCGATCGACGTGCATCGGTGTCGGTGCTGTTGAAGTGTCGAATCTGTGTCTGTGCGGTTGTAGAGTGAGATCCTTATCGTAGTTGCACTGACGATCTGCGGGAAGCGCCATCCGTTTGTTGTGGTGCCATCTGTCGACGCAATACGAGTGCGGTGAGCAAACGAACGGGCAAAGATGGACACCCACTCATACACGGCAAGAATATCGATCCCTTTGCCGGCTCGCAGGTCAGGCGGATCTGCCCCATATCCGTTGATCACTCCTTGCGATGGATTGGGGTGATCCGCGGATGACCCCAGGCACCCCCGTCGCTGGAGATGGGGCGCTGGTGCCATCGACGCCGTCCGGACCCATCGGTACTGGCGGTCCACCCCCTTCCGCCGGCCCATCGCCACTCTTCTCACCGCCATCCCTGTTTCATCCGTCTGTTGAGGGAGGACGTCGCAAGCGGTGTCCCACTTGCGCCAGGCCTGATTGTCCCGCTGCCTCGTCAGGCGGCCACTGCCCTGTCGTCGCTGCGCTCATCGCTTCCTACAATGCGGCGAAGGCCGCCTCTCAGCAACCATCCACAGACCATCCACCCACCGGCAAGCACGACAAGAGGCCCCGCAAAGAGCGGCGCGCCAGCAAAAGCGCGGGTAGTAAGAGGGCCAAGGTGGAGGGGGCGGTCAAGAAGGAGGAGTGTGCCGAGCTCAAGCGGGAAGCCGTGGATGAGCCAATGGAGGCTGGGGAGGACTCCGTCAAGGGGGAGGAGCGGGCGCGTGTTGCCGTCAAGCTAGAGGCCGGTGGCGAGATGGAGCTGCTGGCCACTTTCCAGCGGTGGGTGGACGAGCATTTCGGGTTTTGAATGCCGCCGTGAGGCTCTCGTTGACGGGCTAAGAAGATGAACGAAGCTTGAGCCATTTCGGTTTGTCGCCGCCAAGGGCTGACATCGTCACATCGTCACATCGCAATCACATCGTCAGATGGAGGTGGCCGTCCGCTACCCAGTGTCGATGCCCCTCTGCAGTGTGCTGCGCAGCGACGATTTCGGGACTCGCGAGCTTTTAGCGAGCGAGGCACGCTCTTACCCGAAGTTCGTGTTCGTTTGTTCGTTCGTAATTGGGGCCATCGAGACTTTTTCATTCGGTACCGTCTTCGATGGGGGCTTGCATGCGAGCTTGGGGGCTTTGCATGCATTTCGCGACGCGGCCGCCGGAACGCGGAGCGAGTCCCGACCCCCCGACGGAGGAGGGCAACTCATCAACCTCGAAGACGCGGTTATTAATGGTGGCATAGTGGTGGGCTGAGTGAGTGAGTGGCCCGGTGGCTGGCTGGCTGGTGAGTGCACTTATTGAATGCTTGAGTAGAAGAGGGGAGGGTCTGCCTGACGATGGGGTTTGTTGTCGTCTGCTTTGTTCTTTCGTTCGCCCGTTCGTATGCTGGTGTGTGTCGCATAGCCTGTGTGTGTGGGTGAGTGGGACAGGCTGCTTGATCACACACGGCTTTACAAAATGGCGTACACACTCACTGCGAAGAATCGGCATTCAATGAGTGATTCAATCACTGAGTCTCCACACAGCACCAGTAAGGCACGCACAGCAGCCACTGTCTGGCGGTCGTATCGATCCAAACAAACATGGCAATACCTTAGTGGACGAATGTAAAACACCCCATCCATCCATCCATCTATCCCTTCTTGTCTGCCCCTCCCCCTCCCGCGCCCTTGTTGCCCTTCCCGCCCTCTTTGTTGTCGGCTCCCCCCTCGTCCGTCTCCATCTTGGTCTTGTCCTCCTCGCCGCCCCCCGCCCCAGAGGCCTCCCCCTCGGCGCCCTCCTTGTCCTTGGCCTCCTTCTTCTCGGCGTCCCTCTTCTTCTTCTCCTTCTCCTGGGTGAACAACACAAAACCATGGATTGATTGCAGTGAGTGTGGCGGTGTGAGAGAGAGGGGTTTGTGTGTGTGTGTGGTGTGGTTTGCCCCCCTACCAGTTCAGCCTGTTCGGCCTTTCTCTTGTTCTCGACCTTGTTGTTGATCAGGTTGTGCAGAGCCATCGACGCCCGGATCACCGAGCCTGCAGATATCAGGAGTGGTGTGGTGTGGTGTGGTGTGCACACACAAGGAAAGGTAAGGCATGCACAGTTGTCTTGGCTGGCCTGGCCTGCCGCAGTTCAGTTGGCTGCCCACTGGCTGACTGACTGACTGACTGACCTAGGTATAGCGAGAGCATCATGTCGTTGGTCTCGATGCTGAAGGCCTGCACAAGCTGCTCGTTGTCGAGGTCAGGCAGCAGGTTGAAAATGTCCTGGAAATTGTATAAGAGCTTCGGATTAGCCGGCAACTTGTCTACAAACACACACACACACACACAGAGAATGAGAGAGAGACTGAGACTGAGAGTGGGCGGGGTGGGTGTCATACCGTCGATGACGTCCTGAATGTAGTCGCTGATGTCGTTGAGCTTGGAGATCATCACCTTCAGCGAAGACAACTTGTCGGCAACCTGCAGGCAGGCAGACACACACGACGGAGACGGCCGCGCCGCGCCGCGCGTGTGTGTGCCTGTGGGTGTGTGTGTCCACACACATACACATACACAAACCCGTGTGGCCAGCGTTGAGGTGGATGCGTTCTTGATGTCGCGCAGCAGGTGCTCCACCCCCACCTCTTCAGCCTCGTACGCGTCTGAGCATAATTATGAACGGACAAGCCGACAGACCGACAGACTGAGCTGAGACCTGCTGATTGGATTGACTAAGTGCGTCGGAGTGGAGCGTGTCCTGCCTGTCTGTCCAGGGTGACTGACCGATGGTCGACGGGATGTGCACGAACTTCCTCCTGAAGACTTTGTCCGCAGAGGCCTCCTCAAACGACATGTACGCGTCTGTCGGCAGCTGCTCCTCCTGAACACAATCACACACACACGGACACACAGGCACACAGACACAGAGCGCAGAAAGAGGGTTTGGTCTCCTCGCTGGTTCGGCTGGTCTGCCTTGCCCACCAACCTACCTTGTATTTAGGGTCTACGATGACGTAGACGGGCTGCGAGATGTACCGCCTGTAGATCTCGTGTATCTCGAGGTCGGCCGGGCGGATCTTCGGCCCGGTGCTGTACCAACCCACCACACGCTCCTTCGCATTCACCTAAACACACACACACACAGCGATAGATACGACAACAGTGTGTTTTGTGTGTGTGTGTGTGTGTGTGTGTGAGAGTGATGCCTTGCCTTCTTGAACATGAGGAACATGTTCTCATGGTAGTTGTGGTCGACGAACCACACCGAGGGGTCCCGCGGGTCCTCCTCAAACGGCACCGCATAGCTGTTGGTCACGTGGATCTTGCCGTCAGAGTGCAGCTCACCCAGCAACGTACCCACCACACGCTTGTTGGTGCCTTGAAGGAACGAACAAACAAGGGGGACAACACCAGACAGACAGACAGACAGACAGACAAGACGGAGATCCCCATTGGCGATGTTTGCCCTTCCCTGCGCGACATCTGTCACGTTCGTCAAATCGCACCTGTGGCGACCCTGTTGTAATGGTCCACCACGCTGAGCAGCACCAGGGGATGCACCACCACCTGCTTGTCGGTCACAAGCCCCTCGAGCGACGTCTGCGTCTTGGACGGCACTCCTGCCCCGCCGCCTTTGCCTGATGCCGACGCCAAGCCGCTCTCCTTCTTGTCCGCCATTAAAACACAGCTGCGGGAGGGAGACGAACACGATGGCGACTGAAGTGGAATGGATCAAGGGATGCAGCGGCTGCTGTGTTGTACCCTTGCTGCTGAAGCCCAGATCTCCAATACACCCTTCCACGTCGAAGAAGAGACCACGCCGAAGACGCCGAAGAAGACAAAGGCGAGCTCGCTCAACTGGGCGCGAGCTGCAGACGTTCCGATGAAAGACGGACGTGTGAGTGCATCACACGTGCATGATGGCGTGACCATCGTCAAGCGGTGAGGGCTTGCTCTTTGAAGATTCGGCGTTTCGGGTCGCGAAGGATAGAGGATTTCTCCGTGGGGGTCGTCCTCCCCGCGCGGTGAGCAAAGAGGCCACGCACACACGCACACAGACACGTAGCGCACAAGCCTCGAACGATGAAAGACAGACACCCAGGCAGGCAGACAGGCAGGGTGTGTGAGAAGAAGTTGTGATGTCCGTTCTGGCGCCAGGCTGGAATGGGCTAGGTCAGTTGAGGGATAGACAGCTCATGAGACAGTCTGCCTCCCTGCCTGTGTGTGTGTGTGTGTCTTCTGTATTGTCTGACTCTCTCTCTCTCTCTCTGTGCGTGTGTCCACAGGAGATGACCGGTGCGCTTGGTTGTGAGGCTGAAGAGTTGACTGGGAACGAAGCGCAGACGCTGACTCCGACGCACAACACCCAGACGACCCCCCACCTCCCGCAGCCCCACATGATGAGCCACCTCCCACACAACAGCATCATACCACACCTACAGCCCAACACAGAGGACGACATGCTCGACATCGACGTTGACCATGATCATGACAATGATCGTGACAATGACAACAACATGCCCTCACACCCCTTCCCTCAGCCTGGCGATGGCAGTCAAGGCGATGGTGACGGCGACCACAATCCCGGAGACAACTGCCTTGTCAACAACGAGGGTCTGCACCAGCAGCATCAGCAGCAGCACCAGCAGCAGGGCGGCGACGGTGGAGCTGCCAACAACGTCAATAATCAGGATGACGAGATCATGACAGAAGTGGACCCCGAGGAGATGCAGCTGCTCGACGACGTCGAGGACGAGGCGGCGGCGGCAGCCGCCGCAGCAGAGAGGGAGGGCTATGAAGGCTTCCCGTCGCCCGAGCCAGCCATCCCTCCCGCCGCCGAGTACGAGAGCAACAGGGCGCGGCTGGCTGTTGTGACGGCCGAGGTCGCGGCAATGGAGGTTGAGCTGGCGCTGCTCATCCACGCGCATGAGAACCAGAAGCTGCACGACCATGACGATCTGACAAGATGGCGGCAAGAGGCCCTCAGTATCGAGCTGGCGAGGGAGGTGCGCGAGCTGGACGACGCGGCCGAGATGGCGCGGCTGCGTGACGACAAGGAGAGGGAGGAGCGGGCCGGGGGCGACATCGCCGTGGCGGTCGACGGTATCGACAAGGAGATTGAGGCGGTCAGGGAGGAGGAGGCGCGCATCCAGGCCGAGCAGGAAGAGCTCGACCGGCTGATTGAGGCCGAGAAGGCCCGCACGGCTGAGCTTAATCGCGACCTGCACTTCGAGAGTGCGCGTGAGCACGAGCTGACAGCCCAGCGGCAGAAGGACGCCGAGGAGGAGCGAGAGCGCCAAAGGGACCCTCACTACCTCCTGTCGCTCATCTGTGGTGGGAGAGGACAGTCGTCATCGGCCTGTGGACAGGCTGTGGGCGTCGACGGCTCGGGGGACGGCCCGCAGGACACGCTCGAGTATGAGATGCTGCACGGCCTCGCGCAGCACTTTCGGTCACGCTCGGCCGTGGCGCCCCCGCCCCACCCCAATCCCCACCCTCCACACCCCTCTGCCGTGCCCGCCCCGCACCTGCCGCTGCCCACGCCACCGATGCCAGCGATGAGACAGGCCGTCAACCCGCACTACGCCCATTTCCACCATCCCTACGCCAATGGGCCGCCGATTCCAGATCTTCCCCCCCTCCAGCCTCCACTGCCCAAGGCCGCGGCGGCTCTCAATGGCAATGGCAGCGACGAGGCGCCACAGCAGGGGGTGGCGCACGAGGCTGGGGAGCTGAACGGCGTGATGCCGATGCACCACGGTGGGGCTGCTGGTATGGGGGCGATGGGGGGGCAGTTCCATCCTCTGGCGGGAGCGTTCGCGCCTGCGGCTGGGCACTACGGGATGCCGCCCCTGATGCCGCAAGGGCAGTATCGGCCGGTGGGAGCGGCACCTGCGTCGCCGTCGCCCTCTCCCTCGCCGTCACTCGATGCATCCCCGCCAACACACCCCTACCGGCCTGTGCAGCATGCCAGCCCCGCCCAGGATGGATTCCCAGACGCCAAGACAAACGGCGGGCCGCCGGTGCCATTCTGGGGCGTTCCGGGAGGGGTGGGTGACCAGCCGGCACCACAAGCAGCGGCAGGCAGCCCACGGATGGTTCCCACCATGTTCCAGCCCCCCGCTGCGCACATGAATCCATGGGGTGGTGCCTACGCAGCTGCCGTCCCCCATCATCACCAACACCAACACCAACACCAGCAGCAGTATCAGTATCAGTATCATCCCGCTGCGGCACACGGCGGCGGCGCGATTGGGGTCGGAGTGCCGTTTGGTCAGGGCAGCCCGCCGTTCCTTCCGTCGGACAGCGACGCGCAGGAGCAACCTGGCGGCGCTTCGGCCTCGGCGGCGTCCCAGGGCAGCTCCAGTCCACACAACTACGGCGCTGCTGCTGCTGCTACTGGGGGTGGTTCGGCAACGGGCTCCCGAAACCGAAGTCGGCAGATTCCTAACATGTCAGCGTCGCCGAAGGTTCGTCATGGCGAGATGAACCAGCAGCACCACCAGCAGCAGCAGCAGCAGATACCTGTGCCCCCGTCAGCAGGTTCGGTGCCGATGCCTCCCTTTGGGGTGCTGCCAGTGGCCCACAACGGCATGCCGCCACCAGCAGCAGCAGCAGCAGCAGCTGTTGCCAACGACCCCTTCATGCCTGGCTACCCTCCTCAGCAGTCGGTAGCCAGTCCGTCAGCTGCTCACGACCAGACGGCACATGGGCATCATCATCATCACCACCACCATTGGGTGGGAGGGGAGGGGCAGGCTCCAGCACCTGCAGCAGCAGATGACGGCAGGGAGGGGCCAGGGGCAGGTGCTGATCCGTCCTCCTCAGCTGGTGCTGCTGGTCCGGGGTATTGGGGGCCCCAGCACTACCCACAAGAACAGCTACAGCAGCAAGTGCATCAGCAACAGCAACAGCAGCAGAGGCAGAGGCAGGGGAGTGATGGGGCTGGTGGTGTTGATGGTGAGGGCGGGGGGTACGCAGGCGGTGGTGTTTTGTACTACCGATCTTCTTGACAGACAGGAAGGACAGCAGAGCAGTGGTCCGTGGGCTGGGCTTGCTGGTGTGTACTGCGCGTGTTGTGCCTGTGTGGTGTGTGGTGTGTGTGCGTGAGGAGGGTGGGTGAGGGGTGCGGGTGAGGGGTGTGGGTGCGTGGGGGTGATTGCGTTGCAGTGCCTAGACAGGACAGCCATTCAGACGGTCAGATATTCGTACAGGGGCATCGTACAGGGGCAACAGCCGGGGCGGAGAGACAGGTCGGTTGGTTGGTTGGTTGCGTTGGTTGTGTTGGACGCATTCTACGCTGCCAGGCAGGCAGCGGGCAGCTGTCACGGGGGGTGGGGGCTTGGGGTGGTGGGGGTGGCGGTGGTTGCGTCTCTCCCTCCTTTTCTATTTCTTGACGGTGTGTGTGGTGTGTGTGTGACTGACTGGATGTTTGTCTCTGGGTGTGTCCGTGACAGGCAGGGAGGCGTGGGAGGCCTTGACTCCCTCCTTCCCTCCCTCCCTCTGGCTGTGTGTCCGTGGCGTGAGCGCATGATGCGTGGGGGACAGACACGCCCTGTGGAGCTTTTTAAACCGTCCTCTCAGCGCACGACGCTCGCTCAAGGCGCTCACACCATACCATGGTCCCCGGCATACGTACAGTGTTCCCTTCCCACACGCCATGCGGCAACAGGAAGGGAAGAAGCGATCTCCCATGTTATGTAGGCACCAAAAAGACCCACAAGACACACACACACACACAGAGAGAGAGAGAGAGAGATTACGGCAGCAAAGAGCATGGGTGGTTCAAACGCCATAAAAGGCGCACACATGGTGGATGGATGGATGGATGGATAAGGTGTGGGTGTAGGGAAGGGAATGCGCCAGCTGCCATCGTCTGCCGAACCAGCGGCGAAAAATGAAGAAAAGAGGACGGGCCGCATGCACCGCAGATGGATGGATGGATGTGAGGTGCCTCTCTCTCTCCCCTCTCTCTCTCTCCCCCTGACTCTCCTCCTGACTCTCCTCCAAAACTTCGAGTCCGTCAGTGTATGAGTGAGTCAGTCGCTCTTCTCTACAAAACTGGCCGGCAGACACCCATGCAAACGCACACAATCCACACATAGCTATGACAGACAGACAGGCAATGCCCCATCTTCTCTCGTAAAGACAGACAGACAGACGGACGGACGGACACTGCCCCCCCAATAAAAAGGCAGAAGCGATAGATGGCGCACACTGCCACGACAGATGCGATACAGTCGGTGCACACACACACGTGAGCATGAGGGACCCTGGCTGGCTGACTGGCTGGATAAAAGTCATTCTCTCGCCTCTCTCTCTCCCTGCAGTAAGGACACATCGGCGGAGCACTGACTGCCTTGACTGACGCCATTACGCCATGAGATGCACGTCTGATCACGGTATATATAGGAAAGACACACCTATGCCACACGTGACGACGATCCACATCCTCCCCCCCC